TGTATCGACGTCGTAGGTAGGTAGAATAGTGATTTCGGTTTGGGGAATATGTGACGTGAAATTATTCCTTGGGGGACTCCTGCTCAAACATGAAGAAAATTAACTTCCTTGACGAACAGAAAATGTATAATTATAAAGATAACTGATAAGATCGTACTAATAGTTAGGTATAAAAAAGCCGAAAGAAATAGTATTATTTTGTACAGTATGCCACTTATAATCTTTCTAAATATAGCCATACGACTATGGTCAAAATAATCCAAAAAAAATTGAGAACATTCTTTTTATAGTAACAGACATGCAAGGTAAGTTTCAAAAAGTTCTGCGGGGGATGCTCCAAATCATAGACTTATTATAAGTCTACGCTTCAAACGTTCGTTCATATTTGGCGTTTTGACTTATATAGTCAAAACGCCAAATATAATCAAAAAAGGTTTATTCATAAGGATTAATATTATTGGCTCCGCATCGAATCTAAAAACATGCATGTCGTCTATAATTTCATTTAGTTAATTACAAAATTTCCATTGCTCAACACTGCTTAAAGGTTAACATTTTTTTCTTTATTGTTTTTATTAAAGAAAAAATATTACAGCACGACATTGTTATGATTAGTTATTATATAAACAGAAAAGAAGAAAATTATTATTTATTAGAAAATATTATTTTATTATTATATTGTTATTTAATAATTATTTTTTATTTTTGAATCGTCTAATGCATAAAAAAGTATTCATTCCCTTCAGCGGAAACTATCATACGAATAAACGTGCCGTCGACTAGCTTTATAGCAAGTATAATATCAACGGTATAAGAGTCTACCATTTTGGCATTAACTTTGATTCTTTTGTACGTTAATTGGTGGTTTTCTGAAACTTCTATATTTATTAATTGTAGATTAATGTCGATTACACTACCGAGTCCGAAATCGTGTGCAGCGTGGCAAAAATAATACCTCGTAATCTCTTCCCGTGCCGCGAGTACTTCTTTGCTAATGCTATTTAAGTCGACCCTCATAACATGTATTGCAGACCAGTAGATGTTTTCGTTAAACCCAAACAACCTCAAGGCACGTTTCACGTTTGAGAGGTTCAACGAGCGTTTTCCAGATTCGGGACAGTGGTACGTTTACATCAGAAGATCGGCTTTGTAAGGTGCGGTATGTATACAAGTGGAACCATGCGAAGAACACAAGCCTTAAGTAGATGCATTTCGAAATCAGGGCATTGTACTTATTACTGCCGATCGGGTCCAATTCCCATTGATGATGCAATTGTTTCGGAACGTACAGCCCGGCGTATTTCCGCAACTGACGTTTGACATTACTTGTGTCCAGTTCGAAACCATCCATCGACCATTCGAAAATGAAATCTTCTTCCAAATACAGATGCCGCAACATGAGAAGCGGTACTGTGTAGTAATCTAAGAGTCTGTAGGCGTCCAACTCACCGGGTTTGTACAACAATTGTCAATTCCATCTGCGAATAAACGCCGTCGGCGAGAAGGGATATCGCTGACGTCTCTGAGGTTGTATTGCCTCGATAATATAGGTATTTATGTTGGACACATCGGACAACGAACAATAACGGGGTTTCTCGCATGCGTTCGTTGTTATTCATGAAATGTTTTTTGTATTTTTCAAATTTCGCGTCCGAAACCGCTAGACCCTCCACAAAAGTGAACATTTCGATTTGCCAAGCGTAAGGGTCCCGTTTCGCCATGTTCAACATGGACAACATCTTTTTAAGATAATCTTGATGTATCTTAACGGGCTCTTTTAGATCGCCAATAAAGTCTGATTTTTTAAATATTTCTTCCAGTTCGTCCTAAACTTTCAAAACAAACAATCCGTGAATACACTGGATCGCTTGCATTTTCTGTTGGTACTTTTTAACGGACGCGTTTTTCTTGTTCAAACAGTTTTCGTCTGAGTGACATTCTTCCGTAAGAAGTGTAATGTCATTTTCTTCAGAGATTAAATCCGTCTCGTCTAACGTCGGCATAGAATTTATCGATTTTACAATTTCCACGCTATACAGTTCTTCCAACTGCATAGGCGGAGATTTCATTAATTTTTTGGGGGGGCTAGCATTTTTCTACCTAAAATGACCCGCAACGGATTTACACTCCTAAATTATTAATATATAATGCTATATAACATTACAAATGTATAAATAAAAATCATAATAATTATAATATAATATTTGTATATTATTTAAGTAAATATATATTATTTTAAGGCAATGTACCTATTCTTAGATCCAAATATATAAATTATTTTTTCTACATCAATATTTAAATCGTTTTCAATGTACAATATGGATGAATTATTAAACCTGTCTACATAGAAACATAGTACGTAACCATGTCTTAATTTTGCGCATAGCTGAAAAGCTGCGTTCGCATGTAGCTGAACTAATTGGCAAAGACAAGGTGACTTGAAATAATTTGAATAAGCTGGGAAATACATTTTGGGTTAGAGCCTTTTGAATTTTATCAATATTTATTGCGTTTTTTGAAAAATGTATAACTTTATTTAGCACTTGAATTAAAATTAAATGATAACATTATCAAAAACATTGTTATAATGTTTTGCCGTTTTGGAACTGAAATAATTTTCATAATTTATTCTTATTAATAATTTTAGTTTTTACTCCATTAATTAAGGAATTTATTACTCTGATGAGTGATAAAATAATTGGGGGGGGGGCTATTGATAATTTTGGGGGTGCTAAGCCCCCCAAGCACCCCCCAATCTCCGCCTATGCTTCCAAGAATTCCTATTTCAATTGTGTTGTTAACAAAAAATAAGTAAATGAAATATTGGTAATGTTGTAGTATAAAAGCAGTTATATTTTATAAAAAAAACGTCATCTAAATGATTATTGAGTTAATAATTATTAATTGTTTGACGTATTTAGCTCTTTGGATACTTTTGTGTTCAATTTTTTTCCATCGATAGTATATTGAATTGATAGTACTTTTCACACTGACTAGGAATCTGCAATACTTGCACTTAGTTTAGAAGCTTAGTCGTTTAAATGTCATCCGGTTACCGTTATAAGCTATCAATTTGCATTAGTCCATTTTAAGTTATCGTTTTGAAAGGCTATACATTTTTCTTATAAATATCAACATTGTTTAGGGTTTACGTACGCTCATTACCAGAATTACGCGCAATCATTAATTGCCTTTCACTTATGAACTAAATGAACTAAGTACTATCGATTAAAATAAAAAAGGGTGCCCGAAATGTTTACTCAAAATGCTATTACTTCAATACTAATGAGAAAATATTTATCGTAAAATAGAATTTTTCAATTATACGTCTAAAATAATTATGGCGGGACATGATTATTTTAATTTTTTGCATTTAAAAAATTTTGCAAACTGTTTTTTTTTTAATTGAATATTAATAGGTAATACTTTTTATGCTGATTACAAATCTGCAAATCCCAAAATAGTGTCATTATTGATGTTCAAAGCTATTTGGACCTTGGAGTTATCATTTTAGACTATACATATTAATACGAGTATAAGCTTATTGAATAGGAAATAAATAAAAAACCCTACCACGATGGGCCGGGGAAAGTGGGACGTCACAATTTAAAATTCCACGTACGCTCATTATCGGTATTACGAGTGATCATTTATTTTTGCAGTCTCAAAATCAGTATGAAAAGTACTATCAATAAAAAAAAACAAAGGTAAATATTTAGGAAAATATTTATAGTAAGATAAAATTACTTTAATATTTTATTCTAGGAATGCAGAACATTTTGTGAGGTGATGAGTAACGACATAAATATTGTATCTACTGAAAATTTAATTAAACGACAAATGTCGATTATATATACCTCTCCTGGAAAATTTTGATCAGTTTTTGGTACTATTACTAAAATATTAAAACACGTCAACAAAAATGAAATTTTCCAAATCATTTTTTCGTTTACCTAGCATGAAATATAACACTAAGAAAGAAGTAGAGAAGTGAACGTCAGGTACAGAACTATGCTGCATTTCGATGGTTTCCTTAAAATATGGTATTAAAAAATGTTTTGTTGTCAAGAATAACGCTATTTCTACAGAAGGCTTTAAATAAAAAAAATAAAACAATTTGACAAGAACAGGATGATAATTAATATGAATTGAGTGAAATTTGTATTAAATTGTATTATATTATTACTTAAAATATATTTTGCTCATTTACGGTTGGACTATGTTTCAATGCACGTGATGTGAATAATATTTAATTAAAAAAAGGGTCTGTAAGGAAGGTTAATACAACATTTTGAAAAGTTATATATACATTTTGTGTTTATTTAGACTATTTTTAACAGGGAGTTCGAAGTCCTCCGCGGGTTACTGTAAAATTTATCTGCTATGGAACGGTGTTATCTGTACTAAAACCAGCGTTCATCCTCAATTTTTGTTCCAATTCGAGCACTGATTAAACTAGCATTAGTTATCTCTCTATTACACTATATTATAACCATATATTATACTTATCTATGAATATTTAATAACTAGGACTCTATTTTGGTAGTTAATTTATTTTTCGGACTATCACAGCATCCTAGAGAGCGATTTAAAATGTTTTTTCATTTCTACATGTTTAAGCAGACTGAAAATAACTTGGTTATAAAATAAAAGTACCCATTATAAAATTAAAAGAGAGCAATATTCCGGAGGGCAAGACGGTACGTTTTTTTCATTGTTCCAAGTATAACGCTCAATACATAGTTTAGAAATAACAGCCATTTTAACATTTTTAAACAACTGTAACTTTTCAAAAAATGGATTCTTTTTTAAAAACGCACCATTTTGCCCTCTAGAATATTGTTCTCTTTTAATTTTATAATGGGTGCTTTTACTCTAAAACTAAAATTAAGAGAGTTTTTTTCAGTTGGCGTAAAAATGTTTTTACCACTGAAAATCACCGGCTCGACGCCCTCTTAACATAAATTCTTATTCGCAAGCACTGGATTAGGTACTCTAGATTAGTGATTTAACATTTTAATTTTTTTTTTTTTATAGTTTTAACAAGTATAAAACGAAGCAAATGTAATTTCATAGTCAATAAAATAATACTATAAATATATGTCAGTCCGAGTTTATTTTATTTTTAATTAATTATTCATTGTCATTAGCATCATTGAAACGGTTGGCAGCAATTGTTTCCCTGAACTCATACGACCAAAAGCCATTGACATCAATCAGTATGTTGATTAATGTGCGACCCATACCACTGTGCACTATATCTTTAAGAGTTATCCTTTCGGGATGTTTTGGTTTGATCATGTCAAATATTTCGTCTTTGATGTCATCCAATGATACAGAGGATGGTTGTTGATCACTATCAGCCAGTTGCGGTGGAGGCAGGCGATCAGCAACTGCCTACATGTGAGATCATAAAATATATATGATTACAAATGCATTACAAACAATGCTACAATCTAGGTCTTACCCGAGAAAAATAATTAATTGTGAATGAGTCAAGGTACCCTTGATCTTTTATGTCAAGGAACTTGAATAGATACCGCAATGCTGCAGGTTCTTGTCTGTTTTCTGTAGCTAAAACAAAATTTAAATACCCTTTGTAGTCCATTTGGCCATCAAATGTGAATGCCACTTGAAACACGCGGTCCAAAAATGCAGATGTCAGAGAACCTGACTTATAACTAAAAAATGTAATAAATTAAGCAATATAACTATAATTCCAACTTTCCAAGACTATATTTAACTAAAAAATATTAATTTACCTGGCTAGTTCCTCGCGACTCAGCAGACCATTTTGATCTTTATCTAATTCCAAATACATGGAATATATGCGCAGTGCTGACGGTACAGAAAACCAATTTTTCTTTTGTGACTCCTTACACCAGGTCTCTTCACGCAGCTATAGAGAAAATTTGAAAAGCATCAATACAACAAATAAAATTATTTTAAATGTATTAAAAAAAGCCATTGTTTATCTTTCTTCATTTCCTATTTTGTTTTTGCAAAACAGTTTCGTAATAGTAGTTATGCACAAGTACCTCTAATAGATCGTCAAGGAAACCGCAGGACAGGATGTCGACAATTCGTATCTTACCGGTCCGCAGTGGATCCAAGTAGAAGAAAAACTTTCTTACAGCCATACACGAGTAAAAAGCGTAGAATGTTTTCTCTAATTTTTTAAGTTGGGTGAGTGAAGGTATGAGATCCAAAATATAAGCTTCAAAATCCTTAAAAAACAAATCACCAGTGAAATAATAATTACTACTGAAACGTAATTAAGATAGGTACCGTTTCAGTGAGATGACCAAGCCCAGTCAAGTCGTACTGCGATAAAGTATTCCTAGTCTGGTCAACCCAAATTTTTTTCATAAGGTAGTTAAATAGTGTGTCTATAGACAAATATCCTTTGTTTTTGCCATTGTCTTGGAGTTGCAGGAATACGCTCGGCTTGACAAACATCCTGCAAAGAAAACCAGATATATTATGTAACTTTAACTCAGTGGTCATAAAGTAAATATTATGTCTTTAATAATGTCAAGTTGCAAACTAAGTTCTTTTAAAAACACACTTGTAGATATTCACTCTTGTAACATTGTCTGATCAATGTAAATAACATTTTTAGCTATAGCCTTTAGGCTCAGGCGCACTTTATCTGTTCAGTTTAAAAATTTGTACTAGTGTATGTCACACTGTTATTTTACTCTAAGTAGTAATATAAACTATTATTGTAATCTGTTTTTTATTTTCCCTTGATGTATAAGTAGCAGTAATCCGTATCTTATTTATATCTTTCTGTGTCATTTTTTTATGATTCTGCTTTGCTTCATTAAACATAATATTTCATCTGTTATCCATTTCTTGCTCTTATTTCTTTTAGCCATTACATTTTCTACGCCGATTATCTCAAAATTCTTGGTAATATTCTAGATTATTTCTTCCACATTGTTGTTTCCATTTTCTAACTTGCACTTTTCTCTTAAATCTATCCGATTTTTCACCAATCACATTATTAATTTTTCCTGCTTTGTACATTATTCTTACATTTCAGATTCATATCTTTATGGGATCTTTTAATATGTTAATACTCTGTTTATTGTTTAAGTTACAAGAATTTCAAGTGTTGAAGCCTTTTAGTTGTTCCTTCTTCGGCCGAATCTTGGTTTCCAAATTCCATGATGTAGTGGATTATTAAAAAAATATATATATATATTATTATTAACTTCGAATAACAATGATTAAATATTAATCATGTTTGAAAAAATGAATCATAGAAAATAGTTAAAGTAATCATGATAAAATGAAATTTATCACATATAATAGTTAATTTAATCATTATTTTTATGGTTACATGAATAATCAACTGTTATTTAAAAAGTTATTATTAAAATAATGACCAACTCTGCCTGCAATATCGAAATGTATTACAAATTCGGCCCACCGTATAAAAAAAAATTGGAAGCCCCTTGGTTTAATTGTTTTTATAAAAACTAACTATTTCCAAAGAAGTAAGAGTAGGTAATTTGTTATGGTGTAAGGCCTTACTCGTATTTGTCACTGAGTTTCTGCTTGACTTTGACAAAATTCCTATAGTTGATATAAAGATTTTCGCTATCACCACAACTGTGGACGGGTGGTGGCGTATGATAGTCTTGCAAAAGCGTCCACATGTACTGTGATAACAGACACATTCATTATAGTATGACCAGAATACATTGAAAACAAGAGAGGTTCACCTTAAGTTCGTCACTGGTCAGCAATTTTGAAAGTTCCCTGTTCAAAAACCGACCTCTAGCATCTGCCCTTAGACGTGCTTTGAACGCATTGACGTCTTCAGTAACATGCTGATCAACAAAATAAAACAATATTAAAAAAATGAAGACCCAGTAAAACTCTAGTTGTTTCATTAATAAAATTAACAAGCATGCACAATACAATATACATACAGGAGAAAAAAATACTGGCAAGCGCTGATGCTCAAATATTGATGAGAGTCCTGCATTCTTTGTGAACTCTAGAAACCATTCTTCTTCAGTTTTTGACAATGCACCCAATTTAACTGCGTAGAATTTAACATCAACAATATTAAAAATTATAAAGAGACAGTGATAGAAAGAATAATAATGATGTGGTTTACCCGATGCTGCACCTTCAGCAAAACATTTTTCCATTATTTCCTAAAATAAAAAAATGTTTATTATTGCATTTAATATCTGTATTAATATGAGAAAAATTTTAATGTTGTACATAATGATTGGAAAATTTGTTAGGAATCATAACTTTATGCCAAATATCTTGTTTAAACCGGGAGACAAAGGGATTTAAAAAAACTCAAATAATTGTAGTATATTTTTTCCTTATTGAAAATCAATTAAAAAATAGAAAAAAAACTTTAAAAATAGAAATTTTAAATAGAAATCATCAAAAAACCCATATAAGTACCACTCAATATACATCTTTTAGTTTAAATATTTTGGTAATTAGGATGTTTATACTTTTACAAATGTTAGCAGTAAGAGAGATGCAGTGTTTTTATTTACTTTCTCCTATAGTTTAAAGCAATCATTTTTTGAAGACATAGATGACACAAATAAAGTTAAGTTTATTAAATACCAATTTAGTGTCATCTGTGTGAATAAGTAGATGCATTATAACAATTAGATATGTTTTAATTAAGATAAGTTCACAAAGATTATTACAGTATACAATATTTCAAAACTTGTATTAAAACAAATAAAATCACAAATATATTAATGCCTTTATAGATTGAAGTATTAATTTTATATCACAATATCATGTCGTGCCAATGGAACAGCGACTGTAACATTCTGAAAATGACCTCTCTACAAGGGCTCCGAAACCTCAACAAAAAAATAAAACGGATAAATCCGAAAATTATTAAATTAATATAAAATTACTCTACATCATACTTATACTTGTTACGGGTATTAATTTAATGTATACAATTACTAACCTCTAATTTTGAACAAAGATCTTTAATATAATTTAACAAATCATCTTCTATAAAGTCTTTTAATACTAAGAACTGCAAAGTCAAACAATTAACAACAAAATTTACGAATTACGAGTCAACTGGTAGTTTAAAGTTTTGTTTTGTTATCTGGCAAAGTGGCAACGACGCAGTATCATTATTTGTATTGTTCTTATCACGGAACTCGATACCAGTTCATTGATACCAGTTTATTACTTTATGTACCAGTTACATGGTTATGATTTGTATTCTTAACAACCAAAGAGGTGTTTGTTCTTTGTCATACAACATACCAGTAACCTGAATCCTAAACTATGAGGTCTGAGGGCGAATACTCACCCAATTAAGGGAAAACACAGACTTTACAGTGAAATATTGTAGGTACTAGGTATTATAATTAGTATTTAGTATAAGTAATGTTTAGAATCCATATTTCATCCTTCCTAATCCATACTCTAGAATAGGTTACAGATTTATATTATGTCAATCACTTTATTAAAAAGTGTGAATAAACAAGTAAAAACAAATAAACAGACACCTGTGTACATACGTGTAGCATATTTATTGTTATAAATTAATAAATTATTTTAGTTTTTTAAAATCCATCGACCGTTGGTGTAAGTTCCGTTTAGTATTTACTTATAATTAATAATATATGCCTATTAATAAGTGTAAATTAAAAAAGACAAAATCGTGTTTTTCGTAATAGCTTCCAATCGAAAATACAATTTAAAATTACAATAACCAGCGTTAATTTCGGGCTTCTCATCACCCCTGTTACAAACGGAACGTTAAGTTTAAGGTCAAATTGATATCGAATTTCTTCTTAGATTTCATTGAAATTTGACGCCTTTTATTATCTACATAATAATAAAACTAACAAGTCTAGTTATATATATATATATATATATATATATATATATATATATATAACGCGTTATAAGTATACATTATAACGCATATTATACTATATAAAAAGTAAATACTTAACAAATAAAATACCATATTTAGAAAAAAAATGTGAAAATTATGATATTCTTCTCTTTGCTTGTACTATTAAGTAATTAGTATTAATAAGTATTAATATTATTTATTTTATTTAAATATAACAATTAATTCTATATATTTTATTTTGAGATGTTAGTACCTATAATGAATTATACGGAGCTGAATGTTGGTCATTGAATTTTGAATAATAGAGAAAAATAATGTAGATATAAGGGCTACATTAATTTATTATTAGGCTGCTTGAGAATAATGAAATGTACGCCGTACGAGAGATTTGCTCTTAAGGTGGGTAAAAACACTGAAGCATTTCGATTACGTTGTAATAAAATATTCATATGAGTACTACAGAATAAACAGAAGGGAATCTTAGAGTAGGAGAATATTAGAGTAAAAAAACTTGAGTTTATAAAAAAAAAAGTATCATACATATTGGGATTTAGCCAGTGACTCCAGAACTTAGATATTACTTTTTTTTAATTTTTTCTGTGATTTATGGCTACACTGTTTATTTATTAAATGTCGTACACCGACAACAATGTCGTCGCCATTTTCCAAGTTTGTTTTTTTTTTGAGTGAACAGTTTAGCCAGAATGAACGATATCCATTTCTTAATCATTTTCAAGATGTCGGACATGATTTTATCTTGTTTCTGATTATTCGGGGTGTTCCGTGGATTGTTGGTTTTTACTTTTTTGGCGAGTACGAACATAAATAGAAACTCGTGTTACATCGAAATACTTGAGTGTGTACCAACGTTTAATGTGGATAGAGATAATCATTAACTTATTCTCCATTCAGATTTCAGAATAATCAAATACGAATTACGAACGCCCCAAGCGGCGGACGAAACCCTCGCCAAATTAGCGCAAGCGTCGCTACATCCATACGCAAGCGCCGTTAGGCTGCCACCGTAAACAACAGTAAACCCCTGACGATGTATACAATACTAAATACTAAAAAATTGAATTTAGAAATTTGTATGAATCGTTTTCGTGTGTTCTGTAACTAAGGCCAACCCCTTGCAATGGCCAAGAAATGGTTGGTGTCGCGGCTAACTTCTTTATAGATCTAAGTCAGTTGTCAAGTGACAGTAACTACCTAACGATCTATTTTATTTGTAGTGCGTCCGTCTGGTGATTTCCAACACCATTTGTGAATATTTTCGAGCGGGAATGTCAAAACCTTTAACAGTTACTACTCTTTAATACATATAGTGTTTTAAGTCCTTTTAACTCATATACACTTGCTAGTCCAATTATCGTTGGTATACCTATAAAATACTATTTTCCCAATTTTTGTATTTTCGTCTGCTTATTATTTTTACCAAGATCCAAATGCATTATCATAAATTCTGGTTAGCTCATAATAAAAAAATTCCTTAACGCTTACGCACCGACGTCCGACATTCTTTACCGTTTTCAATTGCTCTATGTATGATTATTATAAAAATAACTAGACATGTAAGTGGCTCGTCTTAATTCTGTTGGTGCATATTAAATACTCTGTTATTGCCTTAATCAAACAGATAAATCCTAGCGTGGCGGTCGTACGGCGGGAAACGACCGCTACATGGAGGTAGAATTATTTAACGATCGCGGCGTGGAGGTAGACCTAGCCGCCGTCATGCGCTGCTGTGCGTCATGCGTGTTCCTATGCCCTGTTGAGTCCGGTCGCCGCGCCTTGCACGCAGCCGTCTTTGCGTCCCACTCTGCTCGGTTTTGGCCCCGCCGTGCGTTGTCCGCCATATTTACTGTTTGGCTTGCCGCCGTCGTGTTGTTGTTACCGCAGCGATACCACTATCCGACCGTTTAGACTCGCGGTCGGTGCGCTGAACAATAAAAAAATTGTTAATATCGCACAATTTATGGCCGCCGTACTCCGTGATAGGATTCAACCGTTCATATATTCTTCGTACACCTTTTTAATCAAACAACGCCTAACGATTGGTATTTTTTAGATAATTAAAACAGTAGCGTTCGTCAATTTAATATAATGTAATTTTGTCGTAGAGTTTATCGGCCGAAACCACAACAATAATGAACGAACCCAGTATAATGCTGGAAGACCGCCGCGACGACGATCTGGAGGCATTGCGGGAATGCAGTGCCAACGATTATTGTAGGCTGTGTGCTAGCATCGCTGATCGTATGGTACCAATTTATGTCGACGAAGGTGCGGATCATAGACTGGAAAATAAAATCCAAACTCACCTTCCGTTTCTCAATGTAATACATGCTATTTTTTTATTATACTATTTCACTAAACGTGATTTACATGTTTCTTTGTGACGAGTTGTAGCACTAACGTTTCGATGTGTATAAAACTAATAAATTAAATGTATAGGTACAAAAAAATGATTCACTACCTCAAAGGATATGCTACCATTGTGCGTCGGCGCTGCTTGTATGGGACGAATTGTACGAAAGTAGTACGGACGCAGATCAAAAATTAAGAAGCATGTTTGAAGTGAATGTCTCTTTTGATCAAAACGTTTGCAAGGTATGACAATTGCTATAATTTCATTAATTTATTAAAACTTGTAACGTAATATATCTGTATGTTATATTCTCCCTATTCAAAAAGTGATTAAGTAGTTTTGACCATAGATTAAATATTTAATCTATGTTTTGACGTCTTTTTAAATTTAATAGCGTTGGAGGATAAACAAAACAATACCAAGCTACATGTAGGTATGTCAAAAAAGTCAATTGTGCAAAATATTTATGTTAATTTACAGTATAATTTTCCTGTACGTTTCTATAATCTGTATCAAAATAAAATATAACAGTTGGTGACCGGTTTTCATTCGAAATTGTGCATCTCCCAACAAGCGTCTCTCAACGTAACCAGCTTCGGTTAGGTTCGAGGTTCGTACGGAAATTATGTACTTTCTGTGAAAGTGGGAGAAATTGATCTTGAAGTGGTTGCCAGCCGTTAGTTGTAATATGCTGAACTGGTATATTCTCTTTTGGAACAGAGTATATGTTGCTTAACTTATTCTTGCTTTGTTAACGTCTTGTTGTTTTTTACTGCAGATGTATTTTATTTTTGTCAGGACTTTCATTTATTATTTTCCAGAATAAAAATATCATACAAATATTTATAGCTTAGAATCGAGAATCGAAAACGTTACAAAGATAAAATTAATTTTTTTTGTTAAAACCAACAAATATTGATATAAATGATTAATAGTGCGATATTTTGATAGCTTAACTGAATTTAAACTTGTAAAAAAATAGAAAAGTCAATTAAATAATTTTAAAGTTAAATTATGCCTTTTCATTCTAAGAACAATATTTTATATCTTTCCAAAAGTCATAACTGAACTTTGAAATATTTTTTTAATTCCCTTTTATTATTATACATATTTAAACTCAATCAAGTTAGCAGAACATCATAGTATATTTCATTATTTTAAACAACATTTGTGATTTGGCGTAGTTATAACTAAAAGTTAATTTTGGTTTGCTAACATTTTCAATCCCAGTTTATGATTTTATATTTCTCTTTTTTTTAAATGTAAATTTAAATTATAAAAACTGGTCAATTTTTTGTTACGGAAAATTATAATTCTTCTAATGCTGAAGTAGCGCCATTAATCTCTTTTTTAAATATAATTTAAGTATAAGTATTAATTTTTATTTTCCATTGCTATATGGCGCTATTAAAGCAGGATTCTAGGCCGTAATTATTGATTGAACCACCTCTTCCCGTAAAACGTCTTTTAAATACTTAAATACATAAATAGAAACATGTTAGCTGACGCCACACCGCCTATTTAAAGTGTAAAGTATAGGCAATTTTTGAATACAACAATATTATGCTAATATTTATAAACATTATATTAACAAAGCAAAAATAATTGTATATTGATATTAAATATTTATCGCCAAATCTTACAGCACAGTTGTTTAGCCACTATTGTTCAAAAACATGTCTTAGAAGATGCACTTTTTTTGAGGAACAGCAGTTCCAGTGCAATAGTATATCTTAACAAAATTAAAGATCGAGTCTTCATCTAGTTTTTGACATAGTCGATTTTTGATAAAGGTTATTGACTCATAAGACATTGAATTTTACAAATCTTCAAAGCTAAAATTGTTTTTTTTTTTATGTCAGAATTTAAAAAAGTCTCAAACTTCTATTTTGGAAAGATGTACTTTTATGTTAACACTTTTAGCTCCTCAGAAAAGCGCATGTTCCAAGGCTTTGTTTTACATGCAAAAAAAATTTAGTGTGGCTTTTAAACCTGACATTTTAACAAGTAGTGTGACTATTTTGCACAAATCTTGCACTTACGCTTATACTCTAACCCTTGATATGTCATACGTACTTTCATATGGGCTTCTTAGGGACTCCTTCAAAGTTGTCTAAAAGACTACACGACCAAATAGGGGTTACCTTGTTGTATTACTATACAGATTATAGTATAATAGTAGTACGAATTGAAGTTTGGTATTGAAATAAAAGTCATTACAAATAAATTAACTAATTAACACACTACAATTAATAAACACTTATAGTAATTAAAATAAGAGATTATACTATTACTTAAAGTAAAATAACAGTGTGGCTTACACTAGTATAATGTGTAAACTGAACAAATACAATGAGTCCTGAGCCCTTAGCTACAAATGTTTTTTATATTGATCAAACAAGGTTACATGCGTGAATAACTGCACATATTTTTACAAAAACAACTTTGTTTTAAACTTCACTTTGACAATAAACTCCGTATTTTGTATTATAACGAAAACAACATATTATTATTGTAGATAAAATATCTGGTTATATAAAATATGAATTATTATTCCAATAAAATTAGTTTGAAATTATAAATATTTAATGATATCTATGTATATCCTAACTTTTTTCATTTGTCTCCAAAAACCCTAATTTATTTAAAAAAAAAAAATTTGATTAGTACTTCAAAAAAAGTTTTATAGCAGGACTCAATATTAGGTATAGTTTAGCCAATAATTGTATTTTTTACACTAAATTATTAGGCTAAACTGGTAAGTGGTAAGAAGTGTTATACCTAACCGAATTTATAGAATTATTTTAGTCAATATACACATTTAAGCTTAGTTATGCTAGGTTAGCTAGGTTATGTTCAGCTAGGTAAAAGGAACGGGTATAAGTTAAGGTTTTTTTTACAATCTATACCTGTTTGGAAATTGTAGATTCTCAAAAAAAGAATTAAAATCGGTTTAGTGTGATAGTGTGTGCACAGACACACAGCTAATTATAGTAAAATATAGTATACTTAAAAATATAATTTGTCATACACCTATTTATTTTGTTTTGAACGTCGAAAAACTATGAACAATAATTAAACTGATTTTACAATAAAATTTGAAATTTTTATTTTGGCAATAGTAACCAAGATAAGATACAATAATTATATAAACATTTATTACTAAATCTGTATTTAGTTACAAATTTTGTGTGGGCCATCTGGTTTTTTGTGAGTCAAAGTGAGTTAAAGTTGTGAAAAACACTATTTTATTATTTTTCCACAGTGTTCTACATTTAAAATAATTTCTATAAATGGTATCAAATATGGGTTTTAATCAATTTTTTTTCTGTTGAATTCGGGATTATTATGTTATAGTGACACATAACTTTTAACTAATCGAGAAAGGAATTACGTTAATTCTGATTTCAACTCAGTAAGTGGTTGCATGTTATAGCGTTTGAGAATAAGGTAATTACTTTAATTACATTATTTTAATTATAACTGATTGAAATACAAATTTTCAAAATTTAATTTTGCATTAAAAAAACTTACTAATTTAGTGGTCGGTTGTTCATTAAATCTTCCTGAAATATATTTGTTTAACTGTTATGAAAAAGAACACTTAAAAAAAAAGCTACCATAGTGGAGTCGAGGCATAGTTGGGATGGAGCATATTATAGAAATGGAGATCACCACAGATCAATAGGAATTATTATAACTGAATATGATAAAATCACTTACTTATAAACATTTTGTTGCGAGTATGTAGATGGTAGAAGTATAAAAATTGTTAAAAGCAGTGTAAAAGCTATATAATGTACTTGAAATTTTATTTTGAGTTGGAGACGGATACGATATATGTTGATTGTGTGTCATAATAATTTATTACTGTTGTTGCCCAATCATAGGATTGAAGAAGGGTTTATGATGTACTTGTTTATCAACAGTACCTCATCTAAAAAAATTCTATAGAAATTTGTAACTAACTTGACTATTTTTAAAAAGTTATAGAGCCGTGTAATTAATATATTTAAATTTCGTTGGGATACAGGTACAATTTTCTGATCTATATATTTGCTGCCTAAAGAAATTAGTTTAGAAGATATTGTGGGTCTAGATAAACAAATAAAAAAAAAAACACAACATTGTGAACAATTTTCAGCTAAATATTATGTTAAAGTTGTTTAATTTAAAATCTGTTTTTTATTTTACTTTAATAGTTCTGTTATCTTTATAGGTCAAACCTAAAACTAGCCTTTTATAGACTTGATTAGTTTTATCTTTTACATTTTCCAATACCTGATTTTGTATTGGTCATTCATGGTGATTGGTTTAATCTAACATTTTAAAAACATAACTACAAAACTATCAAACTATATTTTATGTTTTGTAAAAATATAAATAGTCATACTTCACATAAAATTTAAATTGAAAAACTAAAAAGATAAAAAAAAAGTGGTAATTTGTAGAATCCTCAAATTTTGTAAGGCATAATAATTTTTAAACTTGATAATTTATAATACTGTTAGAATTATCTTATTTGTGTTGTATTTTTAATTTAAAAAAAAAGGTGTGAGTAAATAATTTAATTAATCAGTAAACTCACTTTTTACTATTTAAGCCAACAATATGAGTAAAAATTCTTCCACATAGATTATATTAAATTAAATTTTTGCTTTTAGTCAAATACCTCGTGAGTCTGTATTAGGTGTATGTTGGATAAGTCCTTTCCCCTATAAACATTTATGATCAGTGCTTGATTGTTCATTATTTATTCATAAGTCACATGATACTTAGTTTTATGTGAAACCTGAAATAATGATGAGAGATTAACAAATTTAATAACCCCCAATTAAAATTTAAGTTTATTGCTTTTAATTTCAGGTGACTATTGAAGAACATGATGAAAGTATGTCAGCTGTAGATAAAAGGTAAGATTTAATTGTGTGTCTTATTAATTAATGATTTTGAAGGACACTTAATTTAACTAAGTGTGCCACTATAAAAACGATGGAATAGTGCATGGATGTTAAAGTTGATATTTTCGAGAAATTGAGTTAATGTATAACAACTCTATTAACCTAATAGAGTTGTCTATTATTGTCTCCCCACATATAAGTGTTTGAACATTGGGAGCTACGTCTGGTACTTATGATTTTAGAGAACATAGAAGTTTGTTAAATATATGTTATGATAAGGCATTATAAATTGTCAACATCATTCCTGTTTAATTAAAAAAAAAAAAGCATCAATGACATCTGTGCACTACGCTATTAAATAAATAAATAAATATAATTATGCATGAATGACAGCAGTGATAATTAATCTTTTTAAATATTTTAAATTTATTAAAATATGTTAATTAAAGGAGGAAATCGGGTTTATTTTAAGTTTTAACTTGATGCAAAAATTATAATTATTAAATTAAATTTGAATATAATATAATATGATTGTATGACATACTATAAATATATATTTTCATCACTGTTGTTAGAAAAGAAGAATTATGTACTCTGTGACATGAGAGAATGCAACTGCATTGAAACCGAAACACATTTTCTATCAGTGCTTGCAGAGTTGGTATTACATTTTGGTTTTTGTGCAGTTGTGGCACAGATTATAGTTGAATAAGATCAGTTAGGGTAGCATGTTTATTTCTTGCATTTGCCATTTTAGTGACGAGACCATTTGTCTATACCAAATTGAACAGCACTAACAAATTTTACTATCTCATTTAATGATGTTTTTTTTTTTGTAAAAATCCAAGTTGTATTTCTAAGCTCTATATTTTCTTATAGTTAAAAAAATGTCACCAATTACTCAAAATAAGATTAGAAAATTTCATTAAATATTTGTGGAGTCTTCAGTACTCTACATTTATTTATATATAATTCCTGGTAACAATAATTAAACAGTATTGCTGTTAAATATAGGGTTATTATGATTTCATATAATATAACGATTTCCGACATTCTTATATTTTTATTACTCTTTTTATGTTCTTTTTATCATTTATTACTCTGATATAGTCTTATTTTAACGAAATATTTTTTGGTGTACCATTAAAACCCCTTTGATAATTATCTAATATTTTGACCATTGTTTATAAACCTCTGGGACTCGAGAGACATTTAGCTCATAAGTACCTAGTAATCCATTCAATATTTATACTGTGTAGTGTAGTGTAGTGTAGTTTTTTTTCTTTTGAATTTTATGTAATATAACTTCCATGCATATATTCTAGTTATATGTGTGTATTTTATTTTTTGAGTTTTTTTCTACTGTGAAGTATTGTAATTTTATCATATTATTAAGAACGCACCAGTTACGATATACATTTTGGATATAATTTTCGAGTGTTCAGGATGGTGTATACAAATGGATTTCGACAGCGCTTCTGATGCTACTGCGCGAGGCAATAAATTTTTGGCTGCATTGAACGACGAATTGGGCGTAATCTATGTGCCCTTATGGTGTTCCAGGTATGGCAACGATGGTAAAAGCTATGAGAGGCCTGAGGAGACTAACAGAGTTATTGATATCCAGACAGATCCATTGATTGCACCCAATGGTTTGATCAGCTATTATTCCTGTTTACAGTGTGACGGCGGCCTTATTTTTTCAAAGATAAAAGAAAAAATGATGCATGATCGAGATATTCATGGGATTTGGGCTCCGATAAGTTTGAAACGTGGTAATAATAGTGACAGTACAGAATATTCTTGTAATGCTAGTTATGAGAACACTGATGTTGTTTCTGACAATACTACTTTGACACCAAAGAATATAAATATTGAGTGTAACGATAATATATTATTTAATAAGACTGACCTCACTGATCCAACGTTACACGCTGTACGTCGTAGCAGCCGCTGTATTGCTATGTGTAAAAAATATGATAATACAGTTGTCGATGACATAGATTTTCAACCTGTATCTGAAGTTTCAGATAATCATTTTGTGAAAAATGAACCAAATTCAGGTGATGATAATGATAACGATGATTCTCAAACTAACGATAGTGAATATAGTTACTGTAGTACAAGACTGAATACTAAAAAAACATTTAAAAAAAGGAAGGCGCACAGAGAAAATGATGAAGACTGTAAAAAACAAGCCAAAAGCACCACTAGCGGTGTGGATCTCTTTGATAAATACAAGGTGATGATTGATGATAAATTGTATTACAAATGTGATCAATGTAACTATGCAGTAGCGGGTAGACGATACAAATTTGTTTACCATATGCGAGTGCATACTGGTGAAAAACCGTATACCTGTGAGATGTGTAGCAAACAATTTCGAACTGCAGCATTTTTACGTCGTCATATTGTGTGCTTTCACGAGAAGATACGGGGTTACCAGTGTGACATTTGTGGCCGTTCATTTTCAGAAAAGCGCAATGTTGATGACCATCGACGAATTCATACAGGCGAGCGGCCATTTGTGTGTGAGACATGTGGCAAGAGTTTTGCGCAAAGGTCATCCATGAAAATCCATTGGAAACAAATGCATGAAAGTATCAAGTCGCACAAGTGTCAGTATTGCGAGAAGAGTTTCATCAGACGATGTCATCTGGTTGCTCACCTCACACATCACACAGGTGTACGGAATTATGCTTGTGAAATATGCGGTAAGGCATTTCTACGCAGTGGCACCCTCAAAGGACACATGGCAGTTCATTCCGCAGATCGACCATTTCGTTGTATTGTCTGTGGGGACACTTTTAAACTGAAGAAACATTTAAAACAACACGGACGAGTGCATGATGGTGATAGTAGCAATCAACGTAGTACGTTCAGAGCAGTAGTTGGTGAAGCCACTATTACACCTATTTCAGGTTCATTGGATTTTAATCCACCATCTAATTCTCCCATGCCATAATGTCAATAAAATATTAGTTAAAAAATATATAATAATTTTATATTACCTAAATGTTTTTATTTTATTATGAGATGATATTTGTTATTATTGTTCGAAGTATAGTTTATCGTAACACAGGGTTGTCATAGAATACCTTTTAAATTTTATTATAATTATACTATAGTACAGTAATTATGAACTAACCAATTATATGTATTCTGATTTGGAATTTACAAATAAGTTCCAAACATTTACTATTGACAAAATCATTATTTTTATAATTCCTAATTGTTTATTTATATTTATATATTTGATTACACCTATAATTCATAAATCAATGTATTAATTGTATGTAACGACGAATTTCCTGTTTTTATGTTCTCTAAAAATAATTATTGCAAATATTATATTTGTTGAATTTATTTATATTTTTAATAATTGTCTTTATGCAAGTTAAATTATTTATGTATTATCGTTTATCATTATGTCGGAGTACAATTTATGATTCTTTGCCAACATAACTCATTTTTATAATATGTACTGGTAAATTAAAAATTTTTTTTTGTTATTTAATTTAAACATAGTATTTCGTAAAAGTATTTTTGATTGTATTACACACGAATTAATACTAGCAAGATTAATTGCTGCATCACACAGTTGGCGCACAGCTATTTTATTACAATTGCTACTTTAATACAATATTATTATTACTATCGCCATTACTGTGTGCTTTATCATATGTAACATTTATTTTTTATAAAATGTTATTTGAATTTTAACTATAATTTTAACATACTATTACTTGTTACTAAGGTAGATAAATAAAATATAATCAAACTAGCATATATATTTAATATACATAGACAATAAGCATACATATTTATGACTTCATAATGTTAATCTATTAATTATTGATTTAAAAATGTTTTCCAGTTGTAAGGGGGGATTTAAAAGTTCATATACTAGAAAAAAATAGTTAAAATCGGACACTTTTTTTGTATATTAGTTTAAGAAAGAAAACAATATTTTGAATTATATTACATTAACCTATTCCCCATTAGTTTAAGTAAATAATACATTAATTCAGTTTTAAAAATTCAAGATAAATGTTTTAAATTTTATTTTATAGGTTTTTGATTTTTAGCTCGTACATTTTACGAAATAGAACAAAATGACCCAAGTGTTAAATAATTATTTATTAATATCACTTTTATCATTATTTTACAACCTAGCTAAGGTTATATAATAATATCTTTATAATATGGTTTTATTGTTAATATATTTTTTTTTGATGTCTTCAAAAACATATCTAGAGGTCATATCCCAAGGAAGAGGCGAGTTTTCACATTGGGTATTCATCAGGGGTGAAATTATTATTTTGAATTATATTTTGGACATTTTTTATAATATTCTGGCATAATAGTTCTAAATTTGAATTAATTTAATGATGCTACGCAAAAAATATATTTAAAAAAAACATGGGTAAAGATGGGAGGGCGATTGCCCGACGTCAATGTTTTAGGCAGAAATTTTCAAATTTTTAATATGTTTAACTATAAAATAGAAAATTGTATGATAACGTGCTTGAAATGCTAAATAGAAAACTGTACACTTTCAAAGAACTTGAATTATAAATACTTTTCCTAAAATTTAATTGTCCGCTTACGAGTTGAAATATTTAGATGTTATTTATTTTACTCATACATCAAACGTGTCTCAAATTTTTTATATTTATTCTAAATAATTTAATAAAGTATATTATATGCAAAATGTGTTATCATTTTGTGCGTTTTTTCTTTGTATTACGGCTGTAACATTTAATTTGTATTTTATAAATGATAAATTGCAGTATAATTATTTACATGATTTATTTCAGTTAGATATAACTTTTAAAATAGAAATTGATTTTTTTATCAAAGTATACAATTTAGTGTAAGACATAGCGGTAATATTTCAAAATTGTATTCATTCAATTGTTTTTAATTAAAAACTATAAATTACTATTGTTCGTGCCATGTAATTTAAAAATTAATGCCGTTCAGTTAGACTATCGTTGATTTGTACTACTCTGCATCTATTCTTTCTTTAGCGGTTTGTTCAGCCAGTGTACCTCGTTGTTTTGTTGTTGTTGCTCGTTATAGAACATTATTGTGTTAGTTTTCTGTCCGGAATTTTCTCTTTTACCGTTATAAGGATATTATTTTGACTTTTCTGTTGTCAGCACATTTTAGAAGTAATCGGTTTCGTCCTAGTCCAATAAGTCGCCAGGTTATAAACTTACTCTTCCTCTGGATTAACAGGGCCCTAGCTCTTAAAATTGTTCCATCTCTTAACAATTTGGAAAAATGGTACACCTTAAATTTTCTTTTAAATATCGATTAATATTTAATAGCGTCATAGTTTTGGACGTCTCATACTTAATTCATAAATAAAAAAAAATTCAAGTAATAGTGATTACCAAACAACTGTTATAATATCTATTAGAATGATAAAACATTTTTTGAAAAAATATATAAACTAATGGGAGTTCTAAACATTTCAGAAACTTAAAAAAAACGACGAAATAAGTTTCTTACGGTTAAGATACTACAAATTAGGTTTAGTGTTATCGAACCCACAAAAATGGTATAGGCGGTTTCCGTTTTATTAAGTTAATCAAAATCTAAATGTTTTTAGAGAAACTACAAAAAAAGTTGAGAATAATTTAAAATGTCATTTATTTCGTTATTCGAGTTTTTTTTTCAATTATAACAAACATTTAGATAATGTAGTACTAATAATGTACTGATAATGTAGCACTAAGTTCAACATGTATGATATTGTTTACACTTTACAGCATCAGTAATATTACCGGATAATATAAGATTATATTTCGATGTGGGACATACCGGGGTAGAATTAAAATTCTGCCCTTTAGATGACGAATTACAAATATAAGAAATATTAATTTTTGAACATTTTATTATGCTTTACTAGAACAATTTACTAAACTTCTGAATTTACTGTAAAAATTATTTTGGCTTTTTTTTTTTAAAAATAATTTGTATGTAGAAAAGTGCCTTGATAGAATTTTCGAATATTTGTAAATTACCTGTAAATTAGTATTTATACATAAAATAATTTTTCAAAAAAAACGAAATCCAGACTACTCGTAATATATTTGATTTTTGGAGAATTGTGTTATCAATATCATAATTTTTACTTCGATATTTATTTAACGTCGATTTCTTTATACCTGTTACGTGACAAAAATTATAAGGACATGTTCGCCTAGTCAATCCTTCTGAATCCGCGGCCGCTGAACCTAACCTGCCGTCGTTTTGGTGTTCCTGTGTTGGTTTGCGAATAAGAAAAACAAGTTTTTGGCCCGTATAGACCCGTTTCCAAAACCCTGTTAGTCGCGTCGCCCGTTAACAAGTTAAACCGTGTTTTATTAACATGACCGCGACGGTAGACCAACGGTTTGTCGTGCAAGCGGGTGTTTCTAAGTACTAAAAGTGTGAGACGTGAATATTATTGTTGCGTGCTGGTTCGGCGCGGGTTCTTGGACCACTATCAGTTCTTGTACACACGCGTGTGACATGTGCAAGCGACATACATGATCGTATAATCGGATATCCGTCCGTTCCCGTTTTAAGAGTACGGGCCTAGTTTCAAGTTGATCAAGTCCCTCAAACAGCTCAACAAGGCGCATAGAAACTAGTTGTACCAACACCGTATATACTTTTAAGCATTTATTCCAGCAATACCTGAAATATTAAGTTTATTGCTTCATTTTTGTTGTTTTTTTAATTGAAACTATTAAAATTATTTAATACCGAAGTTGTTTCCGAAAAACGCGTATGTTTAGTTTCTTTTATGTGTTCACGGAAATTATTATTTATTTGAAACACAGATGACGTCCAAAATGTGTTGTAAACACACTGATAAAAATATAATATGTAATAATAAAGAACCTTGCTGGATAACATTGACTATCTGTTTTAGTGTATTTACTGCGTACGGACTTCTTTTTAACTAACAATACTAAGCCGGTGATTACTCATCTATATACTTAACAATACTTCTAAATTATTAAAACTTTGAGATTCACGCTATAGTGATGAATTATTCAATAACACATATTAACTGCTTACTTCATGTATGCATGCTAACTGCATTAATAAAACAATCGGGTAATCGAATGATTGGGCATGATTAGTTGCACAATATTACTTTGTTGAGTTTTAATAAATTTCTTACAACAACGTTTCCGTGAAATAGACTAGTATGAGTATAACTATGAACGTACACTTGTATTAATTTCTAATATTGTTATCTGTTATATTTACATAAGTTTTATCTAACAATCGATCATGAGATCTTGGTTATATTAATGCAATGATGCTTTTCAATCACGACTTGGCAACTGGTCAAAATAAAATTGTTTTGTTGAGACTACTATGACTTCATAACTAGTCAATAATGCCATTCTTTGTGCGATTAACAAATTTGTTTCATTTTAGTACCTATTTATTTCATAAATATGAATGGAAGAACACAAGAGGCCAAGGTCGTCCGGCTAAAGCTAAGGCCGTACGCAAACATTTACTCATCAGAATTATTACCATAAAAAAAAAACATTTTAGTAATAAATTATAATTGTTATTATCGCTTAATGTATTCCTGAGGAAAAAGTGTAAGAAGTTGTGTAATTATTATAATCGATAAACCCAAGAGCTATGTATTAATAAAAATAACATGGTCTTTAGTTTTAAATGTATGAAACAAGGGCACCTATTAAATCAAAATATATAATAAAATAGATAGAAGAATGTCACACCTAGTTAATTTATAGACAAAAATTATAACAATCGTTTAATATAACTGTCGACATGTAAATTAAATAGCATGTAACGTGTTTATGATGGTGTCGTTTTTCTCATTTTTGATTTGCTTATTTATGTGTTTCAGTGCAATGGCCGACGATCACGATGTTTTCGCGAACGATGGAAGTAACGTTTATCTCAATTCGGCGGCAACGGAGGAAACGACCGGCGACGATGAAGTTGCCAGTTACCAACAACTTGAGGACCTGCCGACGGTGGAAGAGAACGATGACGATCCCTCTGCGATAATACCCAAAGAAGAGTACATAGAACACCATGAACACGTGGACAACAGCGATTGCGCCGGCGGCGGTGGCGAAAACGACGATGAGGACGAAGACAATGACGACGACGACGAGTGCGACGGTGTAAACGTGCGCATGTACCTGGAAGGCGTTAGTGGTGACGACGGCGAAGACGGCAACGGCGGTGAGCTACAGGAGCAGCGACCACCGCAAGAAACCATGTGCCAGATATGCGCTACTGTGTTCAAAACGCGGTACAATTTACTACGACACTTCCAGAAACGACATCCCGAGTACAAGATGTACGAGTGCGATCTGTGCCGCATCAGTTTCCCGTCCATCGACGAGTTCAAAGAACACCTGGAAGACAAACACTCCCGGGTACATTCCGGAGGCGGTGGCGGCGGCCAGCACGAGGTGTCCGCCGTGGTGGCCGCCTCCGCGGTCGACTCCAAGCAGATACGGTTCGCGTGCGACGTGTGCGGCAACATGTACAAGAACAAGGCGTCGGCCATGAATCACCTGCTGACGCACACGGCCAAGAAGAACGTGTGGTGTCAGCTGTGCGACTTCTCGTGCTACACCAAGCAGCAGCTGGCCGTCCACCAGACCAAACACGACAAGCGGTTCGTGTGCGACATATGCAACAAGCGGTTCGCGCAAAAGTCCCAGCTGGACGTGCACGTCAAAGCCGTACACTACAACGAGCGGCCGTACTCGTGCGTGCTGTGCAAGAAGTCGTTCAAGACGAAGGGCTCGCACGATGCGCACATGATCGTGCACACGGACACGCGTAACTACCAGTGTCCGCACTGCGACAAGAAATGCCGGAAACGGTACGATCTGACGCTACACATCAGAACGCACACGGGCGAGAAGCCGTTCAAGTGCAGCGTGTGCGGCCGCGGCTTTGTGCAGATGTGCGACACCAGAAAGCACGAAATGCTGCACTTCAAGCCGGGCAGGCGGAAACCGCAGTTTTACCCGAACGCCATCCAAACGGCCGCCGTGGTGAACGTCATGGACGACGACGAATGAACCGTCTAGTCTGCCGCGCCCTCTTTCCATTCCACTCTAGCGACAACCGCTGTCGCCGCCGCCGATTAGCGGAACCCAATGGCGACGCAAACATCCCTCGCCCTAGTTCCTTCCACACTATCCTCACTCACTTCTTCGCTGACGGCGTAGTCCAACGACTTTTTTTTTATATTTATTATTTTAAGTATTCACTGTACGTATTTTTGTGTATATGTAAAATGTATTATATATATTGTTGTTTTTGGCTAAAACTCAAATTGTACGTTTTGATTTCGCCAAGCATTATATATATATATATAATATTATAGCAATATGTATATAATACGATTGAACAATATTGTGTATATATATATTTATATAATATGTATTTGTTTACATAATATTTTTTTCAATCGTATTTATACTAAAATTTCAACGGAGTTGTTACAAAGGGTCGGAAAAACTCCTATAAAGCGCTATTTGGTCGTGTGCATTTCGCCGAGTAGGTTCTGCTCGATCGCGTCAAGTATCAATACAAATGATTTTTCGGATTTTTCTGCAGTTTAGAATATTATTTGGACGTCTCTCAGTCGGTTGTCCTCGACGGCCGGCTTGACTAAAAAATATCGTTACAACGTATCCATTCGAATTTGAATAACTGGTGGCCATTAAGTCGGATTCGACGGTTCGTTTGTCCGGATCGCACATTATTTGTTTTGGTGGTCTGTATTTTTTTCGTTGTCGTTTATGGAAATATTCTAATCATACGTGATGTTATTATTATGCATCCACTGGATACACATACATTGTACAACAGCCGCGAAGGTCGTTCACTGTAATTGGCGATTTGATCTGATAACATAATTCGACACGATGGCACGGCGCGAATATAAACGCGGTATTATTTCAATGATGATCGATGATCGATACATAGGAACAATTGATAAACATATTTTGTTTTGTGCTTTCGTTGGACGCTAGAAGGTTTCTCCAAAATGGGGTTTTTCATTAGCTGACTGTAAAGCGCGCTTTCCACGTGACTGGCTTTCGACGAGCTCCGGTTTGTTGGCAAATGCATAGGTGTTATAGAAAGCGAACAAATAATGTGAAAGTTGTCGGCGATTGGCTTAATATCTCATTCATTGTTTCCGTCGACTACTAAAAGAACCGTTCACAAAAATTAACAAAGGCTTCGGATTTTATAAATTAGTCCTTGAATTATTTAACTTTTTTAGTTTCCTAGTTAATTGTAAAAAACAAATGTTTTCGCGTACCCTATCGTCTATTAGATTCCTAAGTACCTTGACAGAATTCGAATTTATTATAATATTCTTTTTTAACGATGACAATATTTTTTAAAATTTCATAAAACATTCTCTAACCGAGTGAATTTGTGTATTGTGTTTAACGAGCCAATAAAGCAAGACGCGACTTATAATTATATAATATGCAAATTACAGCTATAATATTATGCCGTTCACTCGCGTGATTAGAATGAACAAATTTTAGACTGGTCGTGGCTTTTTTTTATACTGCACGGCACATCCGTTTTGCAATTTAAATAATAAAACCAGAAATTATGTATTCAATCTGTCGGTTACACTTGATATATTCTATTGCATTATACTACTAGAATTTATTGATATTATTATAATCCCAGTGTTTTTTTATACAATATAAAATTTCGTTATTTTATATTTAAAAGTAACACTTTTTTATATGGCAAGCGAGATTCTAAATGGACGGATGTAGAAATGCAAAAGTTCCCCGTGGCTTCTGTACCTACGTATCGGGTTTTTTTCGATAAAAAATATAATATTTATAATGTACTTGTTGTAGCGAGGGTTTTGCGGATTTTCGTACTTAAAACTTATATTGTTTTTTTTTAGAGTTCTCGTTGGTATTTAATGTTTGCAGTATATTCACGTTCACGCTCGTGGACAATAATTATGCTTTTATTTCATATTGGCCAAAAAAAAGAAGAAAAGTGAACAATAAAACAGCATAGTTCGACTCTGATCAAGTAGTAGTAGGCTATAATTATTAGAAAACAAAAATGAAAAATACAGTAATTATATAGTATACTGATCTCAACATTTATTAATTGTACATATTGAAAATATTGCATTGTATAAAATAAAATATCTAAAAAAAATATAATTATAATTCGTAATCGATGAATGTGGCGTGATTTGTTTGATTTTGTATTTGTTTAATTTAACAACATTTTTTGTTTTGCACGAATGAGATAAATCAATGTAAAATATAATACGGATTTCAACTTAAACAAGTGTATTATGATATAGTATTTAAGATGTTACACTTTTTGAAATATAATTTTAACTCTGTGTGTATTTGAGCTGCTGAACAACTAAAAATACCCAAAAGGTGTTGGATACTTAGATCTTATACGTTAGATCTGTAGTGTCTCAAAAATGAATAACAACAAAATTCCAATTATTTTTATGAGAAAACAAGACGTGTCTTAGCCCAAGGAATCACTTACAAATTGTATACTCAACAATATTATATAACTGAAATAAGTAAGAAAAAAATACTTTCAATTAGCTTATACCTTATGGAAATGGAAAATAAGTATAAATTTTATGAAATGTCAATAGGTATTAATAGTGAGGTAATTATTATAATTAATAGTAAATATTGAAGAAATCCAACCTTAACAGTTAACAAATTCATTTATATGCCTATATGGTAGGTGTAGGTAATGTATAAGGTGTAATTAAATTGGTGCACCTATCTCGCGACTGACAACGAGAGCCTCCGGTCATAACATGATGCTTGCCGTACCATAAATTACAATATTAAAATCTGATATACTTAGATACATTGTACAAAACCTGTATTAGACACGTTGAGACTTGAGAAAAATTAAAACAACCTACGGCCTAACTCATTTCGAGGCCCCTGTCTAAGTAAATTAAAAATATTGAAGGTCATATGCGCTTCTTGCCTGGTCTTGGCCAAGTCTCACCGAGTAGCAATCGATTTTAATCTTGCAAATAATGGCTACCTACCTGCAAAGCACACAATGTATATATAACACATTAATACGAGGTATGTTTTTCTTTCGTAAGGATTTTATTTACTTTTACAAAAGACATGTATTATCTTTAAGTATACAAAATTTACACTAACTTATTATATAGATGGGAAAATAAACCTACGTATTATTACGTAGATATTTAAGATGTTTATAAGCAGCATTAAAAAAAAAAAGAGATGGCTAAAACACAGCCTACTGTATTAAACACACTGTCTTAAAAATACCTAGTAGAAATATATAAACATTAACGTCATATTATTTAAATGTATTAAATAAACATCCTACACTATATTTTTTTTTATATTGACTAATTTGACTGAGTTAAGAGGACGCTACCCACCCGTAATTTATCCACGAAAAATGGTTTTGCGGGGGACAAGAATGTGAGGGTGGTATTTAGAGTAGCTGTATGCCCGTATACAATCTTTACAATGGTAAGAGAAGAACATTATCTACGGGGTAGCGTTTTTAGTTTTTTGATAACTTAAGCCCAATCAAAATTATTCATTATTTTTTCCTTTTTTTAATTTGCTTATAAAAAAATATTAAGTACAGACATCGAAAAAATTAAAATGCTACCCCAAAGTATACATTAAGTATAAATTTACTGTTAATACTGGCCTCACATACTTGTCCCGCGCAAAGCAGAGTTTTGATGGGAAAAAAAATTGTAATTTATTAATCTACGCCCCTCCCAAACTAATTATTTTTATATCAACTTTTGAAACTTAAACGGTAACGTATACGTTTGTAACAACTTGTTAAATTGAGAATAATGTGCTAAAAATGTTTTGGATAACTTTTCTTAAAGTGATTGAAATTTAAGGCAGAAATAAAGGTGAAGTGTAGTATTATTTTTATCTGCACGCACTTCCCCCTTCCGTCCTAACTTTTAAACTCTTATAGATTTAAAAAAATAGTGGTTCAAAACCGGTTATCGACCAGTCAATATTTTCAGGAAATTATTTTTAATTTGAAAAGTTAATAAAATATATACGTTACCATTTCAGTGATAGTCAGTAGTCTGACAAAAAAAATGGCAATCAACAAAGTATCCTCATTACTGTATTAATAAGTATACATTATAATTCAAACTCTAATTTAAGATGTTTCGAAAAATTGCCAATATTTTACTCCTTAGAAATGGCTTGGGTAGTGTCCTCTTAAGTATGAAAAGCTATTTTGTTTTTACTTTTAAAATAGTTCGTAATTGAGCGTTTTTAATGTTCATATTTCTCTAATACTCAAAATTTTGTTCAATTTTTGTAGGTATTAGGTAAATTTGGAAATCGTTCTCACACATTGTATTAATTTAATTAGTGCCAAACTTCCTGTATAATATACATACATATATATATATAATTTTTTTTTTTTTAATAGCAATTTTTGAAACTGAAATGGTAACGTATATATTTTATTAACTTTTCAAATTAAAAATAATTTCCTGAAAATATTGACTGGTCGATAACCGGTTTTGAACCACTTTTTTTAAATCTATAAGAGTTTAAAAGTTAGGACGGAAGGGGGAAGTGCGTGCAGATAAAAATAATACTACACTTCACCTTTATTTCTGCCTTAAATTTCAATCACTTCAAGAAAAGTTATCCAAAACATTTTTAGCACATTATTCTCAATTTAACAAGTTGTTACAAATGTATACGTTACCGTTTAAGTTTCAAAAGTTGATATAAAAATAATTAGTTTGGGAGGGGCGTAGAAACCAAGGTGGATTTATAAATCCACGTTGGTAGGAACATAACAAATTGTGGAAAATTGAGATAACATTATATGAAAACATTATGGAAAAAAATAATTTAATTATTAATTAAACGCAGTGAGATATTGAGTGGCCCATGATAAAACAACTGATAGTAAATTTGTTATTAGAAACCGTCATCCCCGTTAATTACTAAGATAAAATAGGAAGGTACCTACCTACGGTTTTGCCATACTTGAATATTAAGTGGATATAGATGGTTATTAGAAGATATAGATTTTTATACAGTGTATTAAAAAAAAAAAAATATAACCTTTTCCCATTACTGTACTGCACTATAACAACCGACACAATATAGGTGTATATATATATATAAGCCTAGGTATATCACCTATTTGGCGATGGATAACCCGTAAAGTATTCCTTTATAATATACCTACCATAGTTTTTTAGACTTTATAGTTCCTAATCGAGCAGAGTTCATTTTGTTGTTATAACTTAGATAATTGTGCCGTTATACCAAAAAAACATAATAATTCTATTTTCATTACCTTGCAGGTATTGTTATCAAATTAAAGGTTATCAACTTTTCTATCATAACATCCAAATAAAAAAAAACAACGTATAACCTCTTAAACGTCAAAGAAATGAAATCACAGAATAGGTTAAATTTAGTCTATATTCTATTGTGTGATGAAAGGTTTAATGTTAACGGTGGCAAATTGAGAATTGAGACTTCCGGGAAGAGGGGTAATCATTATACATAATACCTATATGAAGTAAATGTATTTATTAAAAATGTAGGTGCACTAGTTTGATATTGTTTTTTATTTTATTACAAATATTTTATACCTAAATATCAACAAATCCCTTTTAATATACGAAGTACTCATATGAAGTTAAATAGGTAATGTATTACACTTGTATGAAAAATAAAACCAAACATAATAATAAATTTAACAAACATAATTTTTTTTCTTTTGGTTGATGCAATTACCAACAGATACATTTACTGTATGGTGGATTTTTTAGTAAAGCTAAGCCGGGCTGACGATCTTGGCCCATTTTCGTCCTCGGCCATGTTTCTAACCTATTTAACTACATAATAAAAAGTTACACATTTGAACTATTTATTATTATTTTTATTAAGGACGTAGGATAAGATTGATATGAAGAAATTAATAATTATTATTGATAAAAAAAGAGAATTGGAGTAACAAAGTAGAAACAGTTGAGAGAACAGATAAATTAAAAATTAATTTATAACTAATTATCTAAACTCATATTTAAGAAATTCACACATACAGCCAGTTGAAGACTTAAAGGCATCAGCTAGACCTTAATCCATAAATAAATTTGCTTCAAAGCAGTTAATACCTATATTTACCAATAAAATGTCTAATATTTGCCCTCTTAACGAGAATACTTTTTAAAAGTATATAAAGACTCATTCAAATACAAATATATGTAAAATACCTTTAAAAGGCTTTCTTCAATTATTGTTTTAATACTAATACCAAAACAAATTCAACAAGCCATTAAAATGCTGAAAAGCTGCGTTCGGTTGAAGCAACACTAATAGATAGAGAAGCGATTATATTTAATAATGTATGCACATTTGTAGGTATATAAAATGTACACTGGTAACAACTGCTAAGGTGGTATTTCATACAAATTGTCACAGTTGTATCCATGTTTTCGCATACTCAATACATAAGTAATAAAATATTCGTAAATGGTGGTCTATGGCGATTAGAACCACGATTTATTTTGATATTAATGTTTTATAGTGGTAATAAGAAAAGCGAATTTTGTTTGCAATTTGTATATTTTCTGAATGCATCCAAATTTATAAATAAACGAAAATATAGTATGATGATAAAGTTCAAAATTGGCGGTGTTAGAGTCAAAAACCCGTTTGTTTTTTACACCCCCCCCGTGAGTTTACATTATAATTTACACCTACTCGTATTTCGACAAATGTTATTACCAATTACAGTTCTGTATTAGTTAGCTTGTATTAAATCAATTGTATTGTTTCATTTTTTTTTTAATTGTATTATTTTGATGTTCTTTTGAATGTAACTACTTAAATTATTACAAACGCTTTGTCATTGCTAGTCCGCACTAAGACGTATTAACGTTTCTTTGTTTTTTAAATTATTATCGCTTTCAAAAAAAAAAAAAAATGCTGTTCATGTGTAAATTTGTGATGCCTATTGAACACAATATGATTATCGACGCCTTTTCATCTGAACGCCCACCATTATGTGATGTAATTGTATAGGGCGTTATTGAGAAACGATATTTTTGCATTCATCAGTAGAAAAGCACACAGCAGTGTTTAATAACTAATACAACCGTGATAACCATGAAATGTTTTACCGCAATAATTCCATAATGCCCACAGTCGTGACGCCTCTCGCGTGGGATAGGTACACCATATCGGTTTATACGGAAAAGGTTT